TCAGGCCCACCTGATAGGAGGCTAGTTGGCCCGGGTGGGAAGCGCGATCAGGTGGGGCAACTAGCTGATGACCATCACCTTCCCCACTCCCGGCATCATCTTCTGGAGCACAGGCGGTAGTTCCCCTTTCACACCCAACCAACAGACGCTCACAGATATGACTGAGCCACACGGCACTGCGTGCTCGCTTTGGACTATGACAGTAGCGTATAATTGACTGGACGGGATTCGCAGTGGTAGAGATTTGTTCCCGCCCAGAACTCTGTCCCTCCGGCGATCTCGACAAGCCACGCCGACAATGGACAGACAGATATGTACCACTTGGTTTCGTAGCATCATCACGGCTCCGGCTGATGTGCGCGCTACTCTAGTTCTAATCGCATTCGCCTGGCACGTTTACGCTGACTTGGCAAATATATCCGGATTTTGATGTTACATTACAAACATTCAGGGCGTAATACAATCGGCAACAATGTTGTACAAGTCTGCGAGCGAATACTGTTGACCGTCGAGGCACGTTAGCCCTGTACCTAGTAAGCTGCCCTTGATGGTGGTGACAACCTCCTCGAGCGTCAAGCCGTGCTCTCTTGCGCGAGATAGGGCAAACCAATGGAGATGATCAAACGCTCCAATCGCCTGACGTATGAGGTCTGCGTTGGAAGGACATATGGAAGAATAGATGCTGACTCCCTGAACAACCGTCGGCCGCTCATGTAACTGCCCGGGCGTGCAGCACCGAGGACATCTTTTGAAACCCATGCTGTATTTTTGCCGGGGAAGCTCTTCATCGGGAATGGTGATTTCTTTTGTCAATGGTGCGGACAAAATACACGATGCGGGTGCGGGATGCCAGAGTATTTTCAAGCCAGTTCGACCAAGTGCAGCGCACAGGGGGCAGTCCAGCATGTAATGTCTTGGCACATGCTGTTCTGCATCAACTCCCGAGTCTGCTTGCTCGTGCAAGGACGCCCTTCTTTTCCTTGCTTGCACGTGCGCGACTTCGAAGGCATCCATACTGCATTCATCACGACCTCCGACCTCCACGATATAGGATGAGCGGCAAATGTCTTCTGAAGGGCCACGACCAATGCCTCTACTGCCCGACTGCGGCACAAAGCGATTCGAAAGGCAGGCACAGGCACTGCAGAGTTGAACGTCGTCACTCTCTGGGGCGTCAACGCAGCGCTGGGCAAACGCAGAGCCCGCCATATACCCCATGAGTATGTGTCGGATACAGCCGGTGGGAAAGGCGACCATGTTCGCCATGTCGCGTGTGCCATATACATCGAGGGCGGGCCATTTGACTTTTCCTTGTATAGACACCCGGTGAATGGAAACAAAGCTTATTGGTTGTGGCGCGACGCCACATGTTGCCACACAGAGATACCCCATCGAACGAGGACGGCGAGTCAGGTATACGCAGCTAGGCCGGGGTGACAGAGGTTGAAGTAAGGTCTGCAGGCCCCCGATCATGAATGGGCCGTGAGCTAAGGACGTCCAGGCCGCCAGTAATCGCTCTCGAGTCTGCGGGAGTGGATCCGTCGTTACATCAGGTTCTCCCAGCCGCCCCAGCTCCCCATATACTATTGCGTCATCGTAACCCCACAACTGTAACGCCACCTTGACGTCGTGAGCGTCATTGTTAGAGTATACCACGATAAGCGCCAGCTTCCCGGTGAGCGTTGGGCGTTCACGGTAATGGCTAATCATCCCGGCCACTGCGTGCGACAGAGAGTCCGTAGGCTGATAGATGCTGTATTGGACGTTTGAGCGCCGTTCGATCATCCGGGTATACAGAGTGTTGTTCCAGGGCAACAACCCAAAGCTGTCCTGTATGTGGCCCTCCATGACCTCTGGTAGATAAGATGAGAATGCGATTATTTGGGCGTGGAAGAGCGCTCGAATGTTCTTATATGTATCTGTGTGACCATCAACGCCTAGACAAGCATGGTAGAGTATCTCTTCAATGACTATGCGGCGCTTCGAGTAGTTAAAGCGCATCTGAGCGAATGCCAGCACGGAGGCCATCTCATCGCTATTTGCCGAGTTTAGCGGGGCGAGAAGCACTCGTACGTCGTGTGAGTCTATCGAGCATCCGGCATCATAGCGCAGATAGTGAATTCCGGCAGAAGATAGAACACCAGTCCAGACATCGACGAGATGATGGTTTGGCACAAAGACCACTGCGAGACTATTCTCCTCCAGTTTGCACAATGAGGCGATAACCAGCGCCCTCTCAGGCCCCAAGGGCGTGACACAGACCACGTCCTGCAAGTATCTCATGATTGCAAACGCAGCTTCGCGCAGGGCAGGACTTGGCCATTGATCGGTGTTCCTGTCTAGGCCCAACAATGTCCGTAAACTGAGCAAAGCTTGGAGCACCGCGTGTTGCAGTTTCACCTCTAGCACGGTCTGGCATCAGTTTCGACCGCATGCCATCACGTATCATGATTGGCTTACCTGGGTCACAAACAGCGGACTCTCTCTCTGACTGCGTATCAGAATACGTCTCGATGCGGTCGGCGTCCTCTGTGTCCTTCCGGTCTGAGCGCTCAGCCACGGGATCCGAGTGCGGGGCCGGCGCGCCCAACGCATGGTCAATATCTTGACTGGCCAGTGGGTCCCTTCATTGTGTGACAGCGGTGAGTCATGAAGCAATCATACAGGTCCTTGCATAAGGTGCTCACATAGGGCCCTGTTCATCGTTGCCGCCAACATCCGAGCCACCCCACGCTGAGGGCAATTCTGCACAAATGCCGTGAGGAGATCTGACAATGTCTCCTACAGAGCCAGCGGTCTCCTCGAGTAGCTCGTCCTCGATGTTGCTCGTGCCTTCAGACCGCGGCGAACGCGAGACTGCATTTGAAGAAGCATCCTCGATGATGCCGGAGTGAGTGGCTTGCGGCGTGGACTCTGGGGGAGAGTCGTTTTCTGAAGGTGTATCCTCGGACTCTGAGTTACCAAAGGCCAGACTGAGGGACAATCCTCGCAGAACACGCCCTGGACCGGGCCGTGTCGAGTACACGACCCGGGGCTTTGCCTGTCGGCGAGGTGAGACGCGTGATGGCCCCTCATGTGACTAAGCTGCTCTTAGTGATACCGAATTTTCTCAGTTGATCTACCCCCACTCACTGGGTGCTGGAAGATCTCCGGGGCTGAGTCGGCAAGCCCACCATCCTCACTTCTCGTCTCCTCTTCAGAGTTACTGTGGACGTCTTCCATGAACTTGGGATCAGACATAATTCTCCGGAGAATAATAGAAGTTAGCTCACCTTCGATACGGGTCTTCACTGTCAAGTCTGCCTCATCGCTTTCCGAAGGCGCATGCAGATCTTCGATGTGTTCCTCGTCGCCGCGGACATACTGGTTATATTCATTGAGATTCTCACAAAGCTCGGGAAACGGGCGTCCAACGAGGGTCTTTAGCGCATTGAGATACAAGCTTCCCAGATTATAAAACCGTGCTTACTTCGAACGCGAGCTTGGGGAGGAAAAAATTCTCATTTTGGCCGTTGGTCTTCTTGAAGTGATTGCCAACGCCGACCTTGTACAGGTAAGAAGCGAGCTTAGCCTTGGGATCGGCCGCCAGGCGTAATGCACAGTTGTGGCAAGTGCATGCAAAGGACACATCTCCAGACTTCAAGTGCGTCGTTAAAGTTAGATCGATAGGCACATATTCACCTCCCGCCATTATTGGGAGCCGATAGATTGTATCACCCTTGCAGAAGTTGTCGTGATGAGCAGGGGGTTTGAGTGACTTCTTGCATATGTCGCAGATCAGCATATTGCGTCGATCAGAGTGCGCAGATGGGAGGTGGTGGTCGAAAGGAGAGCGCCGGGCCGTCCGGATCACTCTGGCTTCTTCACACGATAGTTCCTGATCCGCTACCACCACCAATCCGCCTTGCTTCTCCCAATCGCAAGCACTCGCGGGTGACTTGCGACGCTGTTGTCACCGCCGAAAGTGGTCACGAGCCTCGAAAGCGCGCGCCAACGTCAAAATTGGTTGAAGCAGCATACGCCACGGCTAACTCCCATTCGTTGTCGGACTCCCTCCGTTTCTTTGCAGCGTCGATCAGTGTCTACTTCGTCTCGTTCGTCAATGTACTATATGTCCATGCCATACTCACTAACAATGTATCTATATATCATCTGACAGAATTACCCCAGGGAGATATCATCTTGGAGAACCCGTTGTCGTGCTTCTCAATGCTCGCCCGTTGTTGGCGAGCATGACAAGGAAGATAGGCCGCGCTCTCGAAGTCGGGGTGTCTCGTGCCTACCCTATCCTTCATTTTTGAGCGGTTCGTGTCTTTATCCGTCTTTACCAATAGAGAATGGCGCGTACGGATCATACCTGCCGCCCGGTGCGTGCGTTGGACGCCATGGCACACGCGCGTGTAACTCAATGGTGCTCGCTTTGTAGACTGTTTTTGAGCGCGATTCGCGTCCGAAACGCGTGGCGCGCTGCAATCAGACTCGTAGATCGCCTCATCGTGGAAACTCGACGGCGTCTGGCATGAAATGGCGATGCGCACGCCGCGAACGTGCGTAGCAGGAACTCGCATTCTAAATGTCCCGTCGAAGTCTCACTGCGAAATCACAGAGAGCAACGAAACGCAAGTCAAAGGACGGAGCTCCTCTTCGGGTACGTGCTTAGATCTACCAACACCTCTCATACACAAGTCTTATGTATACTGCTAGCGAAAGAGGAAGAAAGCGGACGAGGAACAATAAGAATAGTCGACCCGCAATCGTTCGCCGCGCCCTGTACTGACACCCGTAACGGCTCACCCTGCATCTACGCTACGAGGCTTGCTGGGCTCGGGTCCGTCGAAAAGATATCTCAGCAACGATCTCAGCGCACGCCTGTGCAGGCCAATGTTGTCACGCACCTCACTTTTAGGTCTCGGCGCATCTGTTACCGGTAGCGAGTCCTGGTGAGGAGCGAGCCTTCTATCATAAGATGTACGTTCTTTCCCTCGGTTTGAGTGACAACACTGACGATTCAATGGAGATAAGGGGTATTTCTATGAGTTCGCGCCGGTCAAGGAGTGCAAGTGGTACGGCACATTGTCTTTCGAAGCCTACAAGACCACATACGAGCACGTGCTAGAAGCGCTCGAGCCTTGGCGTCCCGCGCGCCTTGCCCTGGCGCCCAACCTCTCCATCTATTTCCGCGACGTCGGCACCACTCCTATACACGCGAATCGCCTTGCGAAGCACGCTTTCGACGAGGTGATCAACGCCTGACTCTAACTTCCCCAACACACGTATAGGGACTTGCTCATGACCCCACCACTGCTCCGCGACGATTTCATACTCTGGTCGTCCGAGATCAGTCAGCACGGTGTGTCCACTCCATGCCGTGTATGACAGCATGATGAGATATGAATCAAATAGCGATGCCAACGGTGAAACTGCTTGGCCTCCATCGTCTTCGATTCGTTCGGTCTCCCATTCGGTTGTCTCAAGTTGACGTCTCTGAAGTGCATTGCTCTCGCTCTCGCCTTACCTGCTCTGACATTAGCTGTTGCAATTGCTGTCTCAGTCATCTCCCACCAGCACATCTTTACCCACTCATATGTATTCTCTACGAGTACTCGTTACGAACTTCCCGCCTGTTTTGTCTCGTCATAAGATGCCACACGATCGTACCTAGGCCTTCCTCACATCGTCACTAAGCATTCGTCAGCTCGACCAATCAAGTGTGTTTATTCGCTTTGACTGATAGCACCATTACGGCCTCTTGTACATATAGGGATTGTCTTCTCTTTGCTACATAAATCCGATCATAAAGTTCTCTCGACCATATAGATTGAGCGTGCATTCGCGAACGCTCTCAGCCGAAGAAAGGCTCTAGAGGCCTGCCAGAGGTTCACTGGCTCTTCAGTGGCCTGGTGAAGGGTACGAAGCCTCTTAAGGTTTAGCAGCAACTGGGCCGCCTCTTACAATGTGTGCTTCTTGTCGAAAGTGGACGAAGTCAGAAACGCAAGGCTTTCACCTAGGAAGGTGAGGAGGAGAGGGATCTTCTCGGTGTGGCTCAGCTCGAACCCCTTCATGGTCTTGAACGCCAGGCTGCCTGGCGTACTGTGTTCGGCTGAAAGTGCATGTATGCATATGTATGCATATGTGCGAGGTATCCAAAAGGCGAAGAAGCCTCGGGAGGCACGACATATCGCTCGGCATGAGACTAAGCGAACTCCCGATCCGCGGGTGCGCGCTCGCGAAGTTGATCACCTCGTGCGCCACGGCTGTGTGCATGTCCGGGACATGGAGTACGCGTAGGTGTGGTAGAAATGATGTGTCGCCATCCCCGACGCCGCCCAAGTGTAGCTTGGGACGGTAGATCAACCTTCTACGATGATGTCAGCTCTGACCTAGTACTGCATGATACCTTGTATACATAAGTACCTCGAGGTGGGTCGAGAGACGCGTGAAGCCGCAGATCTGCGTTCAGAACGAGGCAGGAACGTGCCCGCTCGCAAGACCGTGCCGTTTTAGCTCTACGTGGATTGCATGAGCTTCACGAGCTTCGTGAATGATGCTAACCTATACTCGCGACGCCATTCGGGATGATCGGTGGTTGCTCGAGCGATGCTATGTCCACGACAGCCCAGGCAATATCTAGACGCACTGTGAGAGTATGAAGAGGAGCTTGTGGAACTGTTGAAGACTCTCGTGGAAGCTCTTCGCGTTCTGGGACGCATCGGAAGCACGTAGAAAGCGCCACCGGAGCTTCTTGAAAAGACCTAGCGCGATATTATGGCGGGTCGACGAGAGCGCAGAGACATCCTCGACTTCTCGAAGGCGCAAATGCTGTTAAACGTATGATCAATGGTCATGCATCGTTGACCTCCTCGACGAGTGTTGAGAGTACGCGAGTAACCTGCTTATATTCTTCGGCGACACCGCGTGCATCTTTCAGCGCCACTGCGAGGTCACGCACGGACGGATTACATTGGTGTCCCCAAACACATTGTAGGTTATAGGGGACATAAAGGCAGCTGTTGAGACGTTGAGGGCAGATTCTAGATCAGCTGCTTCGGTGATGGCGGATCAAGCTCAAGCTACAAGCTTCCGACTTCTGGCTTCCCACATCCCGTTTGCCGCTACAGCTTGCCTTTGCACCACAATCGACCTCGTCTCCCGCACGATGTCTGCCCGCTTGTCTGCCCTTTGGCCTCCGGTCTTTGCGCTGGCAATCTTGCTTGCTGTGTAATCACGGGATAGAATGACCAGCTATGACGTAACGGAGGAGATCCGCGCCGCGTCGCCGGAGACGGACGAGATCTTCGTGTAGCTTCCTTCGCAGGCTCTATTAGTGATCGGGTTGGGCCCGGAGCCCGGAGGGAGGATAATCTCCGTGCAATATCTTGCGGGCTACGCCCTGGATGATGCCGCCGAAGACGAAGATGCCATGTCTGTTGCACGCTTGATGCTCCGGAGCGCTGCTTTGTCTAGTCCATCGAAGGATACGATGCAGGTCAGCGTCATTCTCGACCATCTTTGAGGCACCTTGTTTTGTCGGAGGTATCTCCGTAGTGTCTGTTGGTCAACCTCACTTACATAATGCGCTTCTGTAGGTCGTAGACGGTATAATGGCGAAACTAGGAGAGCTACTGAAGGACCTGCTTGAGGAGCGCGCGAGGGCTCGAAGTTGCCGAACGAGACGAACGCGAAGGAGAGCTATGAGGAGATATTCATGAAGGTGCGTAGAGATCGTGTGTTCGAGTACACTGCAGACGTACTGATTGGAAGTGTAGATTGAGTCGCTCGATGCGGTGAAGGACGCGAGGAATAAGAGCAAGGATATTCATCTGCCTAGCATCGACATCTCTTTCTGCTCGAATCGCATCCTGTGCGTGCTCGTATTTCCCCATGATGGTACACTACGCCTAACGTCTGATCCTATAGCTCTGGCGCCTCGCTCACTCTCGCACATGGTTGTCGCTACGGTTTCATTGGCCGCAATGGCGTCGGGAAGTCGACTCTACTGCGGCATATCGCCATGCGTGATGTCCCGATTCTGGCACATATCACTATCTTATTCGTGGAGCAGGAGGTCACCGGACAGTCTTCTACTCCTGGCCGCCATCACTAGCTTTACCCACGCCTCCTTCCCGCACTTCCTACACAATCTGACGCAAGAAGGTAGATCATCGGCGACGACACAATTGCCATCGACTCAGTCCTCAAAGCCGACGTCTGGCGCGAACCAGCTCCTACGCGAGGAAGCCTCGCTGAACGCACGTCTCGCCACGCTCAACACGGACGCATCAAAAGCGACGGACAACGCATGCGACGAGTTGAACTCGCAGTTGAGCGATGTGCACGCTCGCCTAGCGGATATGGACCCTGCGTCTGATCCGGCGCGCGCGGCAGCGCTGCTGGCGGGGTTGGCTTTTAGCGAGGCGGACCAGCAGAGGCCCACGAAAAGCTGGCCGGCAGGTTGGAGGATGCGACTGGCGCTTGCGCGTGTGCTGTTCGTGAAGCCTGCATTGTTACTGCTCGGCGGGCGGGCAATCACAGTACGTCTTGCTGCGTCTCTTTCATGACCCCGTCCTGAAGCTGACCCTCTGTGTAGTCGCCTTGAACGCGCTTGCATGGCTCGAGAACTACTTACAGACCTGGGAGGGAACGCTGCTCGTCATATCCCATGACCGTGCATTCCTCGACGCCGTCGCGACGGATATCATTCACCAGCACTCCGGCCGCCTGGACTACTGCAAGGGGTGCGGTGCTCCCACGCCTATAAGCGGCCGAGAACGATCACTGACTTGGGTATGTAGCAACTTCACGCAGTCCTACTCGACGAAGAGCGAGCGCGAGCGCAACCTGCGGCGTGAATACGACGCGCAGATGGAGTGCCGCGCGCATCCGCAAGCCTCCATCGATCGCTAGCGGTACAACGCCAACTGCGGTACGTCCGACGTTCTATCCGCGATGCCTCGCGCTCATGGCTTCTTTCACCCGCCCAGGCGCAGGCGAAGATACATATCCTCGAGAAGCTTCCCGATCTCATGCCCTATGAAGTTGACGAGATCGAGACATTCTGCTTCCCGGGAGATTGAGAGAAATCCCGCCCCCGTTACTGCAAGTGCGTTGTTCCTTCCTTCGTGACCTAAGGTCATGTACTGACCGTATGCATAGCTGAGCGACGTGACATTCGGATACGACCCGGCTACACCCATTCTCAACAAGATCCCCATCGACGTCGGCCTCGATAGCCGTATCGCGGTTATGGGCAACAACGGCGCTGGAAAATCGACTCTCATCAAGTTATTGACGGGCGATCTCAGCCTGTTGGCTGGTCAGGTATCCCCTTCCATTGTCCTGTTTTTCCTTCATTTGGAAGCTGACCGCACCACCACTGCGTAGCTGAACCGCAACGGCCGTCTCCGCGTCGGATGCTTCGCTCAGCACCACGTCGAGACACTCATTCCGACGATATATCCCGTGCAGTTCCTCGTGAGTAAGTCCCCTGGCAAGACGGAGCAGGAGTATCGCTCGCATCTGGGTAACTTCCAGATCGGAGGTATGACTGGGTACGTGGTGCCCGAGCCGTATGCTAGGTCAGCGCTGATATCACGATCTTGTTCAGGATGCAGCTGATCGGAACCTCTCGTCGAGAGGACAGTCGTGTGGCGCTTGCGGTGCTGAGCATGCTGCGCTCGCATATCTTGCTGTTCAACGAGCCGACTAACCACCTCGACCTCGAGGTATCCGCTCTCTCCGACTGTCTCTCGTGCGCGCGCCGACGATGGTGCGATAGAGTCTCGACGCGCGCATGAAGGCGCCGAATGAATGGAACTGCAGTGTGATCATCATCTCCTATGACGAGTGCATCATCACGCACGTTGCCAATGAACTCTGGGTGTGCAGCGATCGGACAGTGTCGAATTCCCACGGCGATGTGCAGGTGCATACTTAAGGTGAGCTTTATGACGGGCGCGCGGATGCAGCAACTGATCGTCAGCAATGTCAAGACGACGCCCTAAATGTCACCTCGATCACATAGCTTGTACAGTATACGGGTCGTTTGTAGGAGATACAGTTGTTGTTTGCAGTATACTTACATGATGCATAATGCCCAAAACCCTATGAAAGATACATAAAGAGAGGGAAGTGCATAGGTCACTCGCTCATCCGCTGCTCATTGACATCCTGCTCGCGTCCGACGTGACCGCTGTCCAAGTCATCAGCCACCCCATCATAGCCTTCATCATAGTTGTCACGTCCGCTCAAGTCGCCTGTGATCAGCGTAGGCTTCGGCGTTGCCTTGACCTTCGGTGGAGCAGGCTCTTTCATTATGCCGCGGTGGGTGATGTCACGGTCGAAGTGTGGCCCGGTAGCGGTTTTCTCGAGCTCGTCGACAAGCTCGCAGACATGCACGACGTGCATACGAACTATATCCTTCTCCTTATGTAGTGGCGCGGTCGGTACGAACGTTTTCTGCAGGCCTGAGAATTCCTTGACGTATGCGCTGCATCAAGACATCAGTAGGAGTGTCGCCTGAAGGAGAATTGACGCTCGCCTGATCTATCCCTATGTTACAGGCCACAAGGGGTTAATTCACGGTTCTCCTTCGACAGCACGGCGCTCTGCAACCAGTACGTTCTATGCTACGGGAGTGATATTGCCGAAAAGGTATGCTTCTGAAGGTCCCGCAGCCCCCATATAGTAACCCTAGATGTATTCTCTGTCCCGATATGGAAGGAGCAAACAGGCGACCATTGGGGACCTCGTTTCGACCGGCGCAGTACGGCAATATGGTAAATCAATGTTCATACTCGGTATACAGTCTCTCTATGCATAATCCCTGATGTTTGCACTCAAACAACCGTCGAATACTTTGTATCTGTACTGGTACTGGTGGATTCACGTTTTTTCGGGTCAAAACAAAGAATCGACCGGCTCTCGTGAAGTATTGATCGGATCACTATGCTTTGCTGAGCAGAATGTCTTCTCCAAACGATTCGAACGCGACTGCATTCTAACATTAGCAAGTTTACTCGTACTGGACCCTCTGGAAGAGTCGGTCATTTTCTGACGAGTTTCCCCCGCTTTCTTTCGAAACCGCGGCTCGTCCTACACTTTCCACTGTACCCTGAATAGAGTATATCAACAGCTAGTAGTACATATGCGCTATATGGATACGTTGCATCCGTAGCTGCGCCGCCCCAGAGGGTTTCAGTACGGCTCATACAGTTTCCTATCTCAAAAATCGCTTTTTTGCCTGCCAGTACCTATCTAAACCGTGAAGGTCCGTTTTTTCTTCCTGAATGCAACAGGAAGACCCCGTATACACTTTCTATGCAAAAAGAACTGCGGAAATCGAGTGGGAAGTACGCAAATAACGTGGTCGCCAGTTTAATGGCCCGGTCCTCAAGCCACCACCGGGCCAAATTGACAGAAAACTCCGAATCAAATTGAGAACGAGTCGCATCGAGTAGCATGCGTGGTATCATATGCTGGCATGTGCCTAATCTGTCAGCTCATGACGAGAAAATAGCGAGTTCCCGAATTGCGATACGCTGGACAGCCGTCGTCGCTTTTAAGCGTCACATCAAAATGCCCCAACAAAATTTTGTGTCGTGTTTCTCGGGCTGGACGTGATGTCATGCACATATCATACTGACCGTTCAACAACCAACTACCTGCTTGTGTCCGTATTCAGGAGGAAAGGGATAGCTACCCGTTGCATAGAACACCAATCAAAGGAGCTTGTTTTGGAGTGCGTGCACTGAGCGACTGTACCGTCATACGCCGCCTGTGAGGTATATGCGGGTTGTTGAGAAGTTCCTTTTGCATACAGTGTCCGCTATACTGTGTGTCAGCACAGGCATCCGTGAATCTGTACGTACAACGGTCATTCTGGGAATTTCTCGACGAATTCATTCTGCATTTTTACCTTTCCCAATGCAGCCATCAAATGGGAGGCGCGTCCTTATATGAGTACAGTACCTTTAGTGCATACCACAGCCGCTTAGATAAACATCTGAAGTGCATGAATCCCGCTATTGGAAGCAGCGCCGGGCTGTGGTCTTCCAGTACGACTCGCACAGTTCTGTGTCCCAACGAAGTCTGGGTTAGCGTCCCACTACCTGTGTAAGTGGCAAATGCCCGTATTTTTTGTCCCGGTATCTGTCATACAGTGTACATTAGAATCAGTCATGACCATATATGCCAGAGAATTGAGCCAACAGTACTTGAATGACGTGTTCTTCACTTTCACCTCGAGCCCAGTAAGTTCGGACCAGACTCTGAAGTCAAAGAAACGACCAGAACAATTCAGTTTCCTACAGCATGAGGCAGCGTATGCGGTATGATGTCGTTGTATCAGTGCTCTCTAGACGATGATGATCAAAAGCAGGTGTATATCCTGGAGGGAGTACATTACAGAGTTGTTGCCGTGTATGATCACCATTCCCAGGCCAAAGATCCTCAATGATGTCACAGGCCACTCCTTCCCTCCATACAGGCCGCCACGCGATGATGACGCGCGCCAATCGGTACCAGGACTATAGAAGGAGACCAGGGCATGGAGGGTATGCATTGCCAACTGTCATGCGGCCACCCAGCCAAATGGGCTCGCTTGCCATACAGTGCGCAACTCATGTAACAGTACTGACTGATGTGGCACGGAGGTGCATTGAAGTATCACGAGTAGTATCTTCGATCTACAATACGTCTCACAGGTACATAATTGTGGCAGAGATCACATACAGCAGCCACTTTGTTGAGTTCTCGATGGTTATTTCTCTGCATTTCGACCTTCCTTCGCGGCAGCCGTCGATTGAGAGGGGCGTCATTTGCTGAGAACTTTATCCTTGATGATCTACACCATCGTTCAGATATATAGAACAGCTATTGCTGCTTCTCTGATGAACCAGGTGCCGGCTATATGTGCTCCAGTACAGCTTGCACAATCTGCCGTCCCAATAAGTGCCCTACGAACCTTCCCCAAGGGTGGCCATCAATCGAGAGGCGCATCTTCTGCTTTGTACGGCAGGCTTGACAACTGTTATTACCATTCAGGTATACCTCTGAAGTCTATGATCCCCAATAGCTGTAGCTGCGCCGGCCATTTTGCACACGGTAGGACTCGCACGGCCAGGCATATAAACAAGTGCCGCTCGCGTTTCCCGTCAAATCTTTCAATCGAGAGGCGCATCTTCTGCTTTGTACGGCAGGCTTGACAACTGCCATTACCATTTAGGTATACCTCTGAAGTCTATGATCCCCAACAGCTGTAGCTGCGCCGGCCATTTTGCACTCAGCAGGACTCGCACGGCCAGGCATATAAACAAGTGCCGCTCGCGCATTTCCCTTCAAATCTTTCAATCGAGAGGCGCATCTTCTGCTTTGTACGGCAGGCTTGACACCTGCCATTACCATTCAGGTATACCTCTGAAGTATATGCTTCCCAATAGCTGTAGCTGCGCCGGCCATTTTGCACTCAGCAGGACTCGCACGGCCAGGCATATAGACAAGTGCCGCTCCCGCGTTTCCCGTCAAATCTTTCAATCGAGAGGCGCATCTCCTTCTGAGAGAACTACCTATCATGGCATATACCATCGTCTAGGTATGTATACTGGCTATACTATCCCGCGTAATGGTAATGGCGCCGCCCTGCCTTGTCCCAATATAAGTCGCACAACCAGGGCATTCCGATAAACGACATTCGGCCTTCTTCTGGTGTGGCGATCAATGAGGAGGCGCGTCTCGTCCTGAGTACCGTACTTCCAACAACTCACAGAGCCTCTGAACTAAACATCTGAACTTTATGTTCCTCGCTTTGTGTAGCTGCGCCGGCAAAACATGGCTCAGTGCACTCCATGTAGTTGGGCATCTCGAGAAGTGCCATTCGACCTTTCTCCACCACAGTCTTCAATCCAGTCGCGAACTTTTTACAAAGAGAGGTATCCTTGATGGTCTACTCCATCCTATAGATATGCTTATTAGCTATCTTTCTACCCACAATGGTAATGGCGCCGGCGCTACTGCTTCGAGTACGACTCGCACAAGTTGGTGAATAATAAACTACCATTCGATCTTCCACCCATGCGTACATGAAACGAGCGGTGCTTTTTTGCTAGGTACATTGATCTTTACTGAATCTTACTCATGCCTAGATATGTATCACGAGTATCTTAGTACTGCTTGTGAGAGCCGCGCCGGTCACGCCTCGCTCGGTACAGCATGCACAGTTTGGAATCCGGAGAAGTGCCGCTTGACCTCTTACCATCGCAGTCTTCAATCGAGAGGCGCATCTTGTGCTGAGTACAGTACGCTTGGGGGGCTGTACCATCGTAAATATACTCATACTGTCTATGCATCCTCCGATAATGGCAATAGCGCCGGGTCTCCATCCTTCATTACGATGGGCACAAGTCGGTGTCTCGAGAGCTGCGATTCGATCTTCCTGTTGTGTGGCCATGAACTGAGAGGCGCATCTTTTGCCGAGTACTGTACGTTTGATACGCAGCACTCACGCTTAGATGTACATGCAACGCATACTCGGCGTGCTGGTGGGAGCGGTGCCGGACATTCTTTATTCAGTACAGCCCGTGCTGTTTGTCATCCGAACAAGTGCCACTCGACCTTTGCGCACTAAAGCAGACCATCGAGAGACGTGTCTCTTCCGGCGCAAAAGGCAAATTACCGCCACAGACAAGACAAAAAGGTGCATCAATCGCGGGAGTCGCTGTAGGGAAGACGAGGCGAGACATTGAGAGCAAGCGGGAAGCAGAGGAGATCAGTGCGAAGCCGTACGACTGATACCGCTGCTAGCAGATCCAGTCGGAAGACTTTAGTAAGTCTATTGGATAAACTCAGGCGGCGAGTTGCAGCATGCGGGCAACATCTCGAAATGGAGAGGGAACAGAGCCTGAGGTGCAATTGCCTGATCTACACAGCAAGGAGTATAGT